ATAAAATTAACTTAAAGGTAACATTTGAAGAACTAATTGACCCGCTGTAGGTGCATGTTCATTTCGCGTTTTTTTATGACAAAATAATATTTAAAAACATGTCCATACAAATGATGAAAGTATTAGAATTACAACCGCTAATTTTTTTTTATATCACCATATTTTTATTTAAAATGCACTCTTTTCTCTCGCTTCGTCCGCCATAACTAGCAAAAAAAAATCTCCAGTCGGGCCGCAATGCATTATGGGGTACGCTGGGCCGGGAAGGATCCATCAGATCAGTCCTTCTTTTCGGGCCAAAGGAAGGACGTATTTGTCGGCCGCATCGGAGGCATCTTAGGTTTGGGACGGCCTTCATTGCAGCGCTGTGACATATGCGGCCGACAAATTCGGCCTTCAGAGGACCCGGCCTGCCGTTTTGGACACAGCCCATGTTTGTGCTGCGCTCAGGGGGGAAAAAAGAAAAAAGAACGACTCGCTCCCAGACTAGAAAGCAGAGTTTTATAAGATAGTCAAACCGTGAAAAACTAAGCTTGTTTGTTGGTGCTGAATGCGCTGCTGCACTCGATTAAAAAAAGATGGGAAAAAATCCCGACTTGCTCCCAGAGCCTACACCAGGAAGTACAGTTTTATGAAGATAGTCATTCCGTGAAAAACTCTTGAGTGGAGATTAAACAGACGTTGTGCACGGAGGAATCTGACTGATAAAAACTGTGGAGCTAAACCACAACAGATGTGGATAAAAACGTCGCGTGAGTGATGAGTCTGACTTTTTTTTCCTGCATTATTAGCTGTTGCGGGCGAACTCCATGCAGTGACGTATGTTTCAGGGAGGGGGGTTTCCCGAACTTGGCGCGGGGTGTCGTAGGGACTATGAAAGGTCTGTGCGAAAACGACTGCCGAACAACCACGTGACCGCGCGTCGCTCCGACGCCAACGGGTCGACCCGTCGGCGTCGGAGCGAGTATGTTTCAGGCTTTACTCTCACAGCCTTTAAGTTCGCCTGTCCCGTTGTTTTAGTGATGTGTTGCTGCCATAAAAATTTAAATTTACTTATGTCTTTAAAAAGCAGTACTTTTACTTAGTATTTAATATGTTTACTTTGTTCTAATGTGAAAAAATATGGGTTTGTGAAATTTTTTAACTATTTCTTTTTTACATTTTAAGGTTTTTTTAAGTTGAAGTTTGAAATGACTTGTTGATTTTTAACTCTTGCCAATTTTTTTTCTGTAGATTGAAGGAAGCTCAGGAAAATATTAAGAAGATCACAGCCGAAAAAAGAGTGGAAACTAAGAAGATTAATGCCAACAGTCTGGTAAGAGCTAATCTACATTTAACAAAGTGAAGGAATTTCCTAAAAACTGCTTCATTCTAATGGCAGCACTGAAATCAATATGTTGTTGCCAACAGAAAGAGAGGCTGAGGCAGAAGGAAGCCAGCGTGTCCTCCAGCTGAGTCAAATGGCGAGTGATAGACGAAGAAATCAGGGGAGCCCAACCCCCGCACCACCATCCATCTTGTGTTTACCACCTGCCTCAGAATAACACGAGGAACCCTCCGTTCTGTTCCACTAACAACTCTGCAAATCTGCACTCTCAGCACCAACATTCCCACACCTCTGCCTTTTTCTTTTTTTTTTTTTTTGAGGAGTTTTAAAGGCCAAAGTTTGACCTCATTCATTCAGCGCGACGTGACCTCTGAGTGTGCAGCTTGGGCAGGTTTTCAGGGTTCAGTGAGATGCTCAGCAGCACCAGCTGATACCTCCACCAGGTTCCTTCCTGAGTCCTCAGAAGCTGAGTACGTTCACTTTTCCAGGTTTTTTTTTTGTTTGTTTGTTTTTTTGTTTGTTTGTTTGTTTGTTTGTTTTTTGCATTCATCCGACAACATCCAGAACACGACGCAAATGTTCGGATCCCAGTTTTTAGCTGGTGGTGCTGTTTTAGGAACAGATCCTGGCTGTGCGTGCTGAGAGGAAAATATCTGTTGACGAAACAGATCTTTCTCGCTCTCGAAGCAGGAAATTAGCAGCTCCCAGTGTCCTTCACAGTAGCGGATAACTTTTATTCACCACGGCTCATTAAAAACTCTCACACAGACCTTAACTTGTGTTATTAGCACAGACCGCATGGCTTTTGAGCAACACCGTGGTTGATCTACACTCCACTTTGATGACTCGCTGAGTGTATAGNGTTACAGGCTGAGTCATTTCTACCTTCTCCTCTCTGTCAACGCTCTCTGGTTTCATTTAAAAGAGTCGATCATCAGATATTGTCCAATATTAACCTTCAGGGTGGATATAGCTCGCTCACACGGAGGACCTGTCCACATCATCATTTACCCAGAATGCTTTGCGTGTAAATAAAATGGCTCCGTCCGTGTTAAAATATATTTTAAGAATTTACAAAGCTAAACAGCCTACAGTATTTTTACAGTCTTTATTTTACAGTTAAAATAAATGTTTATCAAATAAAGTCTAATATTACAACTAATCAGGGATCCCTTTGAAGCGGGCACCTGATGGGCAGCACCTGGGGGTACCAGAAGCTCAAAACAAGCAACAACAAAATAAGCTGTGTGGCAGAGATTTGTCAATTTTTTCATGTGTGCAGCCCACATCCTCCGCTCTACTACTCATCCCACAGATGCATGTTCCTTACAAATGTGGCACCATTTAAAAGGGAATTTAACAGGCTTTCCAACGGTACATGGAATCTACAAAACACATTTCCTTACTTTTTTGTGTTGATACACATTCATTTACTGACTGCTAGGGCTTAAATTACAGTGTTGAGTCAATAATTGTACTGCAGCTCCATGTTTTTGTCTCGGTTATCTTACTTCCTTTAAAGCCTCCGAACAGCATGTCAAATTAGCACAGAGGTGATGTGCAGATGCTGGGTTGAAATCAGAGTCGAGTTGAGGGAGGCCATCAAAGAAGGGAGTAGCTGAAGCCCGAATTTACGATCTTTGCTCTGACCTGAGGCGTCGCGTTGGGCCGAGGGAGAGAGAGCGCGGACCCTCCTGGCTGCCGCCTGGCTTTACCAGCAGGCCGACAGSGGGTCTGCAGCCGCGTAAAGGCTACGCATCACGAGTGGACTGCTGAACGTCCACCACGCAGAGCAGCAGAGCTACACGAGCAAAGATAACATCGTTGTTTCTCCCTGGTTTTAGGTGTCGTCTCTTTGTAGCCTCGTCATGCTTCAAAGATGAAGGTGCAGAGTCTCTACCCTCCTGCAGGATCCTGCTCACGTTTGTTGTTACTGACTGAAGCCCTGTCGTGGATCCATTTGTTCTTTGCTCTTTTTTTTTATCACAGTCGTGTCTCATAATACTCCCAGCTGGTTGTGCTTATGTACAATTAACTTTATTTTAATTACTGCTTGCACCAGTCATAAAAACCTAATGTATTTTTTTATTGCTGCCCCATTATTTCATCAACGTACTGTTTTTTTTCTCAACTTCTCATTTTTAGAGGCTTTCACTGACCACAGCCTATGAAATGGGTCCGTGTGTGTGTGTGTGTGTGTGTGTGTGTGTGTGTGTGTGTGTGTGTGTGTGTGTGTGTGTGTGTGTGTGTGTGTGTTTTAAGCACTTTCCTGCTTGCAGTAGCTGAGCTGTATATCGTAGCATGCTTTAAACCACACTCTGTAATGCTAACTGCAGCTTTTATTTCAGCTGTTTTGCAAGTTTTTGCACCTTTTGTTTTTCTATGCAAAACTATAGGTTTTTTGCTTCACGGTGTGTAGATTTGTGCAGTAAAATGATGTCCTCGTTATAAAGTCCTTTTAGATTTGTTTTATTTTTATGACAGTGTTTTAAACTCATGCATATGGTTAAAAAAGTGCTTTGTTACCACTTCTGTGTCACTGGAGGAAGATAAAAAAGTCTATTTATGTAAGGAATTAATAATTTTATGTGTAAAACATTAGCTTTCTATCTTTTTAAAGGATTTTTATCTGAGTTAATTGAAGGAGAAGCTGCTTAATAGTTTATTCAGATAAAATAAATATATATTTTCACATGAATCTTATTTATGCCATGCACATTTGCAGTAAATATGAATTACTTGAGAATGAGAATTGCCTTTTCTGCCTACAGTTTTGTAGTGATGAGGGTCGCGTTTTGGGAAATGAAAAGATTTAAGTGTAYGAGCTGTAATACCTCAGACCTTCCATCAGATTTATACATGAAACACACACTTTGATTTTTTTTCTTAAACTTCCCTATGTGCCCTTTTTTTCCTATTTAAAAGTCTGACTTTTAACAGCTTTCTTTTCCTTCAAATGGRGTCAAAAGTCTTAAACTAATCTGATACAAGGACTCGTAGCTGTTCCTGTGTGTCGGTTCAACAGGTGTCATAAAGGTACTCTGCGATTTTATGGAATTGTTTTAAATTTCAAATAAACCACTGAAAGCCACRTAAGCTGGATGGAGACTGCACTTTCAAATAGATGTATTAAAGCTCATTCTGTCTGTTTTCTGCTGTGTACACTTCCATTAGGGCCTGCAACATGTAAATCTGATATTTATACTTGGATGGTAACTCAAGGGTTTAATCATTCACAAAGCTGCTGGGCGGTTAAAGACATTGCACGTTGGAATGAAGTTTGACAGTAGAGCTTTGTTTTATGATGTTTAAACTTGTTCCTGAAAATCTGAAATAAACCATTTGATTTTAACACAAGTATTTGATCTTTTTTTACATGACATTTTATATGAAAGAAATTGATCAAGATTATTTTCAAACTTACCACAGGCATGGACAATCCATTTCTTAAGTTAAATTTAACTTGTTAATGTGTCCTCTCTTAGACCTGCAGAGCAGAAAGTGACAAAATGATAACTTGTAAACATCAATTTCTGCATTATTTGCACATGAATCTGTTCGAATGAACTCAAATTATTTATTTTGAGGGATTATTGGATGTCTTTTCTACATTTAACACCATTAGAAATGTATTTTTATCACAGCATCAGTTTATTGAGTTTTCATGGATAATTTAATCAACAGAATAAACAAACCAATTAAATCAAATATTGGCTTTACATTTTAAAACTATTTAATCTCGATACTAAACCAACACTGTACATTGTCCACATGAACAGGAATATTTTTCCGTCTCTAAAAGGCTACTGAATAGATTCCAACTTATATAAAAAAAAAACTATAATAAAACAAACAAATGTACCAAACTTCGACATTCACAGAAATCGTTTTTAGGTTGACAGATTCTTGAAAAATCGAACTTTATAAAAAAGAAAATCACTTTTTTTTTTCATTTACAAATTCATTCGTCAAGAATTCCACACAGTGGAAACATCCAGTTCTACAAAAAAACATGCGGAAAAATGCGGGATTGGATGTAAACAGTGGGGTTTGGAACCGTGAGTCTTTAAATAAAACCAAGCCTTTTTGCAGTCCTGTTTCTTCATCTTTTTTTTCCTGCTTCTGCAGCTGAGGTGAGGTGAGGAAGCCGTGCGTAAAATGTGCCCGTTTTTAAAAGTCGGACTTTCCGTGCAGTGTGACTTTAAATCTACAACGATGCCAGTTTTTTTTATGTGCAAGAGAAGAGATTTGGTGCATCTCCCAACAATCCCGTCCTGGAAGAATGAGAGTTTGACAAAAGTAAACAAAAAGGATTATAACTGCGTGTTTAGTCCAGGTCTATGGAAATGCAGCGGCACTGTTTGACGCGCTGGATGCGCTTCTTCTTGGTGGGGGGCTGCTGGTCCGGACAAGTCAAGGTAAACGTCATGGTGGTGAAGCGCTTGGGTTTGCAGAAGGAGCAGGACTGGAAGGCACTCTCCTCCCTGCGGATGTGCCGCGGGATGTAGAAGGAGTTGCACTGCCCGTAGCAGAAGCGGTTGATGACGGTGCGGCTGACGCAGCCCTCCTCGTGGATCGTCTGTTTGAGCGGCTGCGTTTTGCACCAGTCCCGTTTCAAATACTGCCGCTCCGTCACGTGCAGGGCTTCCTGGCTGGACTCCAGCACTTCGTCGGCGGGCGAGGACGAGCCGGGCCTCTGCCTGGACCCGGAGCCCGCCTGCGGAGGCTGCGGTTGCTGCTCCGATTCGTTTGGGTTGTTTTTGTCAGGATGAGGAATGGCCCCTTGTGAGGCTCGGTTCCTTTTTGAGGCCGCGGGAGAGGACAGCAGCCCAATGATGAAAACCATACCGCAGACAATACGCCTCGAGACGGCCATCCTGGAGGGGGAGATGGAAAAGAGATGACAAAAAGAATTAATCACCCGCACCTTTCAGCTCGGGAAGAGTTACGCGCAGTTGTCAGGACTTTTACGCAGCGTAAAAACGCACGGACGGAACCTTTTTCCCCCCTGTTTTTCACTAAAACTGGTTGAAAAGGAGATTAAAGTGTTTTGTTTCAATTGCAAACAGAAATATTCAAAGCAAGTATAAACCAAACAGAGCATAAACTGAGATTTATTCGAGTGCGCGCACATGGCACATCATCAGATATGGGCTAAACCGAATCTAATAACGTTCAAGAGGTGGGAGAGGAGAATACCTGCGTGAGTCCCCGATGCTCCAAGAGGGATGGTGAGATCCTGTCAGTTCTTCCTACAGCAGCAGACTGCTCTCTGGTGGGACTGTGGATGGGTGGGAGACAAGGCGCTCCATAGGCAGGGGCCAAGGGGGGTTTAATACAAATTGCTCCAGCGCCGGACTGTCTCCCTTTTAAATGTCTGCCAGCTGAGATGTGCACAACAGTTATTGGCTAAGCACGATGTGGAGAAAATCAAGACAATCCGCCCCCTCAACACTTCCCTGAACCCGCTGCTAGAAGGCAGACAAGCCAGGAGCACCGAGGACGGGCGGGGGTGGGGGGCTGAGGGAGGACGGCTTTGAGGTTTATTATGGAAAAAGGGGAAAGTTTTCTTTTTGGTCTTTAAATATCTCACATAGAATGGGGGGATGCTAATGAGGAAGATTTAAAGAAATGAAAATAGATCAAATCCAAACTTTTGACTCATTTTTGTGAAGAGATCTYAAATAATTATTAAATTCACCTTCCCAATATTTTCATCTTAGTTTTTTAAGTGATTAGTTTGTTGTTCACATTACAAATGAATACATAAAAGCCAATTAAACTCGGGTTGCCACAAACTGATATTTTGCATAAGATCAGTTTTATCAATAATAATCTGAATAAACTGATTTTGGGCAAAGAATACTCCTTAATTATTAAATAACTTCAGTTTGATTAACATCAGCTGGGAGTCGTTTTTTAAACCTGGAAACAAGTCTTTTTCATGGTTTTAAATGCAGTATTGAGTTCAAGAAATTGAATATTAACTTGTTTTACATATTGAAGTTTGCTTTAGTTGTTTTAATGGAGGTACAACCTTTTATAATTAAACTAAAACCTATTTTAATATCAATTTGTCATGTAAAAGTCAAGTTTATGTTGGAGAATAGATAATAAATCTTAAAGTCAACAGACTGAACTGTTTAAAAGCACTTTATTTTTGACTGTTTGGCTCAGGTTACTGATATTACAAACAGAAAGAACATTTGTTTTGAAAAATAAGTTGTGAGTATAGAAAAATGCAAACTGYAAAGTTAAATTATTATTACAGTTTATTAAGATAAAGAAACTAGAAGACTGACAGAATGAATCCCTGACTGTTACTGGATGAACTGGGACCTGAATAAATTGCTGCACGAGGGAGATGTAAATGTAGGACGCCCCCTTGTGGCGCCACCAAGATTGATCACATCTCAGAACAAAAGTCAACCAGAAAAATCTCAAACTGTGCTTTTTTTTTTTAATTCAGCTGAAGCAATTTAAAAAAAAGGCAAAAAAAAAAAAAGCTGAAAATTTGGAAACAATGAACTAATCAAAACTTTTTTAACCCTCTAAAAACAAAAGAAAAATCAAGAGGGGTTTAGTCTTTTTCATGAGGTCATTGACGAAATGTTTCAACATTTCAACAACAAAAATAAATTTTAAAATCACCTCTCGCAATTTTCCCCAAATGTATCAGAATTAGCTGTAAAACCTTAAAATTTACATAATTTAGCCTGAATACTTTGATCTAAAAWCTACCTGGTGTGCCATCATTTCACATGGCTTCTGAAAATCTCCCAAAAAGATTCTTTCCAGTCTTTACTTGTAAAATAAATTATTGTAATAAAAATATGGATGCTGGAATGTTCAACGTCATTTACCATAAAGACACGCGTAGCAAGAGAGAGAAAGAAAAAAAAAGCAGCTTCTATAAATCAACAGGCTTTGTAGCAGACAGCAGTCGTCCTGGGATGAGGGGGTTTCTGGGAGACCCTCTGTAATGGTTCATGTCCTTCACTACAACCTGCTGCACAGGATTCTTAAGGGTTCCTGACGAGCTCGAGGCCGAGCGCTCCACAATCTTTGGCTGGGTCTTGTTGGTCACGTCGCCCAGGGCGCAGGAGGTGGCTTTCCGAACGAGGCAGCTTGGCCTTTTTGGTGGGATGGGGGGAGGTTTCTTCACGTCGTGCGCGCTGCGGGACAGTCTCACCGGTGGCTGMTCCGGGTGAGGAGGGTGGAGTTTTGAGTGAGGTGAGAGGCCGCTCTCCAGGCTCAAAGACTTTGTCACGTTTCGATTGAATCTCCGACTGTCCCCCGAGAGAGAGTTKATCCTGCGGACCGTCTGTCGAACAGGGGTGCGCTGGAACTTGAGCGGAGACCGGATCTGTTTGCTTTTCAAGCCCGTCGGAGAGTAGAGGGTGAGCTTGTTGAAATGCTGAATGTGGTCAGCCACCCGGCGCCGTTCAGCCTCCTGCCGACAACAGATTTCAGCTTTGGTCCCGGTGTCCAGGGAGAACTTGACCATCTCATGTAATTTGCTGCTGGTTTGATTCGGTACCTCGGGCTCCTCTTCGAGCAGTTTGTAYGGAGTTGATGAGGAGACGCTCTGTGTGAAACGAGCAGGGCTCTGCACATCCAGAGCGTCTATAAACCTGCTGCATTTCACCTGCTCTGCCATCAGCTCAGCTGGTCCTATTGAAGAGTTGCTGTGGCTGCTGAAGGAGGCGGATCTAATTCTATTTACTGGACTATAGTGGGCACTGGACTCAAAGACTGCACTATCAATATGCAAACGAGTGAGCTCGGCGACTTCAGTTTGACCAAAGGTTGCATTCTCGTCATTTCCCAGAAGGCTGTGCTGAGCTTGGAAGCTGGGGGTCTGAGTGTTTTGGACCACAGGCGTAACAGGGATGCTTTCTGGTGGTTTTATCACACAGTGTACCGTGGAGCAGCAGTCCTCTGCAGGCCCCAGCTCGGTGACATTCATCAGAACTCTCGCTGAATCAGTTTCTCTTTCAGCTTCAACGCTCTCTGCGCTGGAAGCACAACACAGCTTGATGGGCAGGACGCTCCCAGGCGACAGCTTCGATGCGACGATGGCGGGCTCAGACAAGTAGCTGCTTTTGAGACGCCCGTTAATGGGAGAATCCGTAAAAGACCCGCCGCCAAAGGCCTGCGTGCTGAGAGGGGTGTCCTCAATCCACGAGACCCGGTGGGTCCTGGAGTCACACTGGGGTGTCAGCAAGTTGTCTTCTGACTTGCTAATGTACTTAGAGCCTAAAACAAGCACAGCATTAGCAGAAATTACTCAAAAGACAACATTTGTTAAAATGTAACAGTTAAATAAATTCAGATAARGTTGCAGTTGGTACTTACTCTTGGATTCTGTATTTCTGGGCAGGACAAATGAACCGAACTTGGTCTCTTCAGTGAAAAGAAAACTTGTGGTGCTCTCCTGTGTGGCAAGTCGCCAGCCAATCGACTCAGTACCCTTCATCAGCAGCATGAAAGAAGAAATGAAAGATGAAAGAGCCTTTGAGAAGGACTAAGCTAGAGAGTAGTATTTTGTTAAAAAGAACCCAACAGAAATAACCCATAAACATAACCAGGTTAATGGCATGTATAGTTGGGGTTAGTTCTTCAGAGGATGATAAAAATCACTCAGAAGAAACAAGATAATTGAACTGTTTTGATAAACCTTTATTATGTTGACTTTAAAATTATAAACATTAACTTTGGAGTAATAAAATCATGCAYCTTAAAAGTGAAAAGTGTCTGACATATTTCCTACAAATACAAAAGTGGAAGGAAATATCTTCAAGAAATGTGGCATAACATGATTCACATTACTGCCATATTTTTTGTTTTGAACTAGGCGAGRCCAGTGCAACTAGAAGTGACGATAAAGTGGAACTCCCTGGTCTTCTTGGTCTTTCTGATACTCAAAATAACCTAAAGAAACGTCAGATTCTTCACCACTGCTTGTGTTGTCGGTCATTTTAGCAATGCTCTGTTTACATGGAGGCATTCCTCTTTGTCATCACTTCCCATTACTTCGAATATCTTAATATGTCATTAATGTTATTATAATATTAAATTTTATGTCAAAGACACTTAAAGTCACTCACATAATGTACCCAAAGACATTTCACCAAATGCATTTTGCATATTAAAAACCAACAAACTTTCATCCAAGTGCTCAATATGGCAGCTGGCTAAAAACTGGGTGCAGGTTTTGGTACCATAAGCAAGAATAAACAAAGTTGACTTACAAAACGTTAAAAAGGTGCAACACAAACTGTCTTTAAAAAACCCTGCAGAAATATTTAATAACTAAGTAAACAATGTTTTTACAAACAACCACCGAAGATATTAGGAAGAATGAACAGATACATATGGATTTTATGGGTTTTTTTGCAGTTGCTGTTCACACACACGCACTTCACAGCTAGAAATGTCTCACACAGGAAACAGGAAGTGATGTAAAAGCTGCAAAGTTAAAACATTTGCTTTTCTTCCTTCTGAATCACAGACATTTCAGGACTGCAGTGTGTGTGTGAAAGCATCTTACACAACAAAAGTGCTACAGTGCACACATTTATTACTGCATTCTATTGAGTGTGTAAACAGATTGGATTATAATACAGGTAAACCCTGCATGTGGACATATTTCACTTCATCTTTCACAGCTTGTCAGTGAACTATATTAGTGTTAAGTTTTAACGAGCCACTGCACTTACAGCCTCTTTGCTGCTCTTTCCCAAGCTAAAACGCTTGCGCAGGAACTTGCGTGGATCTTCTTTTTTGCTGACTTTAGGYGAAAAGCAGCCAGCTTTTCCAGAGTCAACTCTAAAAAGGACAAAATTCAAAAAACTGTAAGCAACACCACATGATTCTTTAATTCAGAGCAAAATCAAGTCAACAGGGAGGAAATAATGATTGAAAACTCTCACTAGGCTTTTTTAAACATCCAGGGAGCATTCGTTAGTGAAGATGCCCTTTAGGTTTTTAAAACTGGAAACAGCTTAATGTAAAAATACTTGTTCTAAAGACTTTATGAACTTATAGTCCATCAAAACAGTCAAAACAAAGACCTTTTTCTTTTACCTCTTAACATGTCTGTTACTGAAGCGTTTGCTCTTCCTCCTTGAAGCTGTAGCAGATTGCCTCTTAGGCTTTCCTGCTGATGATGAGATGTTTGGGGAAGAGTCCAAGACCCCCGATGAGCTGTAGGCTGGAACACACAACACACACACACACACACACACACACACACACACTGTAACTACAAGCCTTAGTGACAGACCAACAGTTGATCAGTCTTTCATCAATACCTGAACCAGGAGTGGTGGAGCCACTGAACAAAGGGTTGGGAAGTAAGTCTAACCCAAGGCTCTTTTTAACAGATTTACGTTTCTTGTTTGAAAATCCAAAAGATTGGCGAGGCTCAAAGGGAAGCTTTCGCTTGGAGGACGGCGTCACAACCACAGGAGTTGCAGAGGAAAAGACTGAGAAAAATCACAAAAGGAGTGAGTGAGATGATTTTTTTTAAAACATGTAGAATTTGTTCTCCCAAAACTCATTTTGRACCAAAGCACAGAAAAAGAGCAAACTGATTCTCAGTGATGCCGTTTCATGCAGAAAAACAGGCACAAAAGCAGACGAGACGGGCATCATTTAATCTTTCAGGAGCAGAACGAAATGAGGATATGGGAACACAAAKCTTGTCATTTCATGCACACAGGAGATAATTACTTGGGCATCTTCATGCTTTTTGATGCCAGTCTCATCTCGTGTGACCTCAGTACGTACCAAGACTCTCTACCTGGGTGCCTTTTGTGGGCGTTCTATTAGTTTTTATCTTAGTCAGTGCATCACTGACCATATCTGAAACATAAGACAAACCCAGTCTACAACCAGTATTTACTGACTACAGTTGTTTGATTTATGATCACTAAAACATGGTGCGTCATCCTATTTAACGTTTGCTTTATCAGGGTTCCTACAGTTTAAGGCAAGTTAAATTTAAGACCTTTTAAGACGTTTTAACGCCAAGTGAAATTAAATTTAAGACCAATTTCATAATMAACACAAATGACAAAAAAATTAAARCYGTGGCAGAAACTCATAATTCAAAGTATTTTTGTTTGAAGTATTCAAATATTGCTAATAGACCAGTTGTTTGTATCCATATCCAACTATAGCAGAAACATTCTTAGCAGTCAGTTTTAAACAATTTAAATTCCGGAAATCCTCTAAGGACCCAAAATCTGGAGKTTTAGGACCCACAGCRGGGTCTTAACCCCAATGTGCTGTAGATGAAAACTTTTAAAGTGACATCARCATTTTTGTWAGAAAAGTGAATGCATTTTTGGAAAGACAGCATTAACATATTACAAAATGAATATCACGTTGCTCAGATGGACAGTTGTTGAGATATTTGCATGTGAAATAACAGGAAGTTATGTCAAAGGGAAATGTCTGCATGTGAATATTAAAAAAAATAATTTTTACCAATTATTTTAATATTTGAAATGAATCACAATCATCCTATTTACAATGTGCTAACATTTAAGACTTCTGAAATATTTATTTAAGACATTTTAAGGCTAATTATGGCCTTATTTTTGGATTGATGAATTCAATGCCTTTTAAGACTTAAGGATCTGCAGGAACCCTGTTTGTGTTTTTTTTACTCTGTTTAATGACTGATTCAAGCATTCATCAACTGCAGTTTTTAGTTTGATTTCTTACGTCCAAAGCTGCGCCTGCTTTTTTTCTTCATCCCAGAGTTCAAATCCTCCTCATCATCATCGGCCTGAGTGGGMGACAGACCACCAGCCTCGCAGCCCATCATGGCAGGAACTTTCTCCTGAAGAAAYTGCGGTAACAAACCTGTAACACATAACCACAGCTGGGTTTAATAGTACAAAGCATAAACATGGTACAGTGGAACAGCCAACGAGGTGCCTGATGTCGTACCAAAGGCGTGAGCATTCTCTATGAAGCAGTGTACCACGGCTGCCTGTAGTCTGAGCCGTTTCTCTGTGTTGGCATTCATCTTCTCTGTTCCATCTCCAGAGTGAAGGAGGTTGGGAGCCAAAATGAGAGACAGATTACTGCTATCCATTTTATTTTCTGCACTCCTGATTAGGCAAGACAAAGGATAAAGTTTTAAGCAATGTTTGTAAATTATCCAAAAGATGCACAGCAAAAACACCAGATACAAACAGGTGCGATACCTTAGAGACACACTGTGAAGAAAGTCCAAAAAGTGACGCAGAACACTAATGTTTCTGTCTGGTAACATGCAAGACAAGAGCATGGTGGCAGAGGTTCTGTCCTCCTCAGCGAGGAGCTGCTGGGCCTTGAAAAAGGCATCCTGCAGCTCCGTGGGAAGAACAGGTTCTGGAAGGTCCCTGAAGAACTGCTTCACCAGACCTGCCACATCACAGGGAGGAGCGGTGGCCAGGCACTCCTCTCCTGCATCGAGTTTAGCCTGAACAGACAAAACACAGCTTTGTTGTGGTTGACAGTTCCCGCCGAACTTGAAGGTCTCYGAGCAAGGTCACCGTCATCCATCACTCACCCTGAGTGCTTTCAGGCGGACAACAGAGCCTGATTTCCTGAACAGGCCCTCTGTGTCGGCATGTGCGAGYAGATGCATACATGCATCAAACAGAAATCTAAGAAACAGTGAAAAATCATTAATACAGTTTGTTGGGGGGAAAAAAGACAAGATACAACTTGTTAGCTAAGAGTTCAAGCAAAAAAAGTGCATCAACTTGCCTTGGCACTTTTCCACATTCCACATAGCAGAATGGTAAGCTGTCCAGGGGTACRCCAAAAACTTTTGTCTACGTAAAGAAAAAAATATTTTCTCAGGCTTGGAATTTTTTTTAAAGAGGATACGAGACAAGATGAGAACAAAATACATAAAGATATTTTTAATGTAAATTCACCAAACCTAACTGATATGTACAGGYACACTCTTGTTATTCACCAATGAAAAAATTATGACGGTTTTGTTTTTTCCCCATTTATAATTATACCCTTTTTACATTTGGTATGGCTACAATTTAACTGCTGTAACTTCTGCTTTTTTTTTTTTACTTAGTTTGATGACCAAGCATTCCAATGCATAAAATAGCAGTGCTGTGTTGCATTTTCATCTCCTTAACCTTTTACCTCTTGATTTCTCCAGTCAGTCAAAGTTTGTCTGTTCCTCTTCTGGCTGTAGTTTAGGGCGTTTTCATAATGCAGAAAGYTCAGCTTTTATTGCAAAAGTAATGGTTACAACAAAACTAATACACAAGTAATKTGTTAGTTCTACTCACCAAATGTTACCTTAAAATGTTTTTATGTTATTTGTTGTTGGATTTGGCTTTTATTTTTTGACTACACTTTTTGGGTGTAAATACTCCCAGTTGCAGTGACTGGTGAGTAACAACAGTAGTTTCTTCAGTGGGGGTTGTTGTGAATAAATATGCTAATTTTGATCCCAAACAATAGCGTGCTCAATGAATTTCGATGCTGTAATATTGTTGACTCCTAGTTTAATGTTACAACTGATTATGAGCATAAACATATAAAAGGCTTTAAGGCATGCAAGTGCTGYAGAACACATAGAAAACACTTTGTTTTATTAAACTACTTACCGAGTTGCAGATTGTCGTCTTGCAGCTGGCTGCTTTGCTTTTGTTCCAGCTCTTAATCTTTATTCCATAAGCCGAGCGAAGCTGCTGCACGGCCACTAAACGCATTACATTTCTCTCCATAACTTTCATTCTTTTAAAGGTGCTTTTAACAAAGTGCTCTCTARCTTTCTCTAGCACTTCTGTTCACTATCTCCTGCTGCGAACGATACTGCTACGTTCGCAACAGTTGAGCCCAGCCCTTAAATTTAATTGCTTTTCCTSAAACTTCTAAATCATCCTCACGTGAAACTAATTACTACCCACGAGACAATTAAACATTGCAATGTCTAACAAATCGACTTTTACAGATAAACGCACGTCGAAGTCCCAAATAAGCTGATATTTACATCGTAAAGAGCGTACGAAAATATGCTAACTTCAGCCATACGTCGTTAGCAAGTACKAAAACGTTAGCCAGCTAGGTTAGCAAGTCGTATAAGCTGGTAAAACAGCTCCAACCAAACATAATTCGCTACCGCAGAACCTAAAATCGAAAGTTTTTCCTTTCTCAATYGGTAAATTATACAAATTACACCGATTAAACGACTAGTTTACTGCGTTGTCGTTTGCCATTACCAAGCCGTCTGTTGTTTCCGGAGTATATTCAAACAGCAGCGCTCCCTACGCACTACGTTCTGATTGGTGAGAACTTGAACGGGGTTTCTCTATGTGTGCGTGTGTTTTATTATTCGACGCSTACCGGTAAGGGCGGTACCGTTTCTGTAAAGAGAAAAACTCATTCAATTGGACACGTCATTTCAACCGGTTGAGACGGTACCTCAAACTATTTACACTTTTCTTACATGGAAAGTGCCTGGTTTTATGAAGTCTCCTTTGTTTACAGCAGCAAATATTAGCTATCGTTTATGATACTTTACAATGTAAGAGCACATTAGATGGCTAAACACACATTTAATATTGACACAACAGATTCACACACACACACACACGCACTCCTTGTACTTGAATCTAACTGAGGACTTTTTTGACTTCCATTCATTTTTGTAGTATTTATATGTCTAACCCAGATATTTCCCCTAAAATTAACCATTACTATTTACATTCTGAATGATTCAAAAGCAAATTCAGACATCAGAAATTAAAAGGAAAAATTTATGCAACAATGTAATAATAAGCAAATACTCATAGACTTTGGGTATTTGTTAGGTATTGATGACGATTTTGAAAAAAAAATCTATAAAATAAAAATTGTATCTAAAAATAGCTGATTGTCTTACATTGTGAGACTGTATTTGGGGATATCTGAAGTTAAAAGCCTCAATGCAAATAAATGGAAAATGTTGTGTCATTTGCTCTACAAAAAATCAAGAGACAAATAGAGTGATGATTGAGGTCAAGAAAAACTAAGCCCTGCTGGATATTTGAAATTTTTTTGACTAGAAATAATTTAATTTTGCACAATTTAGCCAACAAATGTTTAGAAGAGTAGAGTGGAGTAGAGTAGAGTAGAGTAGAGTAGAGTAGAGTAGAGTAGAGTAGAGTAGAGTAGAGTAGAGTAGAGTAGAGTAGAGTAGAGTAGAGTAGAGTAGAGTAGAGTAGAGTAGAGTAGAGTAGAGTAGAGTGGAGTATTTCTGATAGGCAATTTTTAATACTTTGCATCATATTGATCATACTTGTCATTGTTTCTATGTCTATGTAATAAGTATATTGTAAAGTAACTTTTTACATGACTAATTTTTATGTGCTGCCTCCTTCTGGTTGTGTACTAATCTRATCAAATAACTGTTAACTATAATTTTAGCCCAAAAGTTCCTGTGCAAGGTTATATCATGCATTTCACCTATTCTCTTTTTTTGTTTCACATTTTCAATAACCAGTCTATGAGTGACTCTCACAAAGGCTTATCTTTATTACAACAGAACAGAGACATGTATATACAAGAGTTAAAGGTGTACAGATACATGGATGCAAAGAGGTGGACATGTGTTTAGAAGCATTTCCTGTGGACAATAGAGGGTCCAGCTTCATCGTATTCCTGTTTGCTGATCCACATCTGCTGGAAAGTGGACAAGGAAGCCAGGATGGAACCACCAATCCAGACAGAGTACTTTCTCTCAGGTGGAGCAATGATCTGTAAAAGGCACAGATAACCTTCAGTTTGAATCAGTGTTATTTGCTTTATGAGTGGTTACACAAAGACTTTGACATCTGCTCACCTTGATCTTCATGGTGCTTGGAGCCAAGGCTGTGATCTCCTTTTGCATACGGTCAGCAATACCAGGATACATTGTGGTACCACCAGACAGCACATTGTTGGCGTACAAGTCCTTACGGATGTCAATGTCACATTTCATGATGCTGTTGTACGCTGTCTCGTGGATACCGGCAGACTCCATACCTTTGGAAAACAGACAAAAATTGTCAATTTGTGACAAAAAATACAGAATATTACCAAATATRATTAAAATACATGAACTCACCAATGAAAGAAGGCTGGAAGAGAGTCTCTGGACAACGGAAACGCTCATTACCGATGGTGATGACCTGACCGTCAGGCAGCTCGTAGCTTTTTTCCAGGGAGGACGAGGAGGCAGCGGTGGCCATCTCATTCTCGAAGTCAAGAGCCACATAGCACAGCTTCTCYTTGATGTCACGCACAATCTCACGCTCAGCTGAGAAGAAGAAAGTTTGAGCGYTGAGGGAAAAACACGCCGGCGCCTCTAACAAATGAACCAAGCAAGCTGTGTAGTGGCCCTACCAGTTGTGACAAAGGAATAACCACGCTCAGTCAGGATCTTCATCAAGTAGTCGGTCAGGTCACGACCGGCCAGATCGAGACGCATGATGGCATGAGGAAGAGCRTAGCCCTCATAGATGGGGACGTTGTGGGTCACACCATCACCAGAGTCCAGCACAATACCTTAGGAAAACAGAAAAATAAAGTTGGATTTAATAAAGTGTGAAAAGTCTGAAAGGTGAAGAARTCAAGTTTTAGCCATTTAATATAAAGATAATTCAAACGTTTCTGACCAGTTGTACGACCAGATGCATACAGAGACAGAACAGCCTGGATGGCCACATACATGGCAGGAACGTTGAAAGTCTCAAACATAATCTGAAAAAAAAGCAAACATTTTTTTTAAAAAATGGGAAAAGACTTCAGTTTAAATAAAAAGAATTGTTAAAGAATCTACCTGAGTCATCTTCTCCCTGTTGGCTTTGGGGTTGAGTGGGGCCTCGGTGAGGAGGGTGGGGTGCTCCTCGGGGGCCACACGCAGCTCATTGTAAAAAGTGTGGTGCCAGATCTGATAAATAAAAAGAGGGGGGGAGGCAGCTGATGTCAGCTCAGGAACAACTGCGAGCTGGATTAACAAACAGCCAGGTTTTGAGTTTAAAGCCGAGGATCTAAAAATACCAGCTTTGTTTGATGGCAGCTGGTTAGGTTGTAAATTCTTAGGAACGCAGAAGGTCAGCTGTCAGGAAAAGCTCGGAATAAGCCTTCTTGCTAAGTTAACACACCTTCTCCATATCATCCCAGTTGGTGATKATGCCATGCTCAATTGGGTATTTCAGAGTCAGAATGCCTCTTTTGCTCTGGGCTTCATCACCGACGTAGCTGTCCTTCTGACCCATACCCACCATCACACCCTGAAGAAACATAAAACAACCAATATGTAGAACTCTTATTTCTAGTTTCTCATTTTTTTGTGCTTGTTTTTCTTAAAACAGGAAGTTCACCTGGTGGCGGGGCCTTCCAACAATGGAAGGGAAGACAGCACGGGGAGCATCGTCTCCAGCGAATCCAGCCTTGACCAAGCCAGAGCCGTTGTCGCACACGAGGGCGGTGGTTTCATCGTCGTCACACATGATTAGGCTTTTTGTCTGGTGGTCTAGAATTTGAGCAGAGGCGTTGTTGTTGGAAAGTTGCAGTCAAGATAGGCTTTTCTTATCTAGAGGTGCCGAAAATGTGAAGATGTGAGTGTTTTCAAAGACCTGCCAACACCTTTACAGTGTTATCACTGCAAACACAAAGCTGGAAGTTARAGTGATAATTAAAATGTTACTTTAGTGTTGGACTCAAACACTGATATCATATCTCCACAGCCATGATTGTTCTGGAGAAGTGCTGGTGAAGCACCAAAAAAGGGGCATAACARAGGGATCTGAAACTATTTTAAGTTTGGCACCCACTTTACTAATCAGAGGAAAAYAAGTGACTGAGTTATTCTAGTGGCTCCAGTTATTTCAGATCAGAGGTGCTGGGGCCAGTGGCATGCATGTGACACTTTTGTTTTACTACTTTGCAACTGGACCTGGCTGCCTAATAAATCCATTCACCGATCTCCTGGTAAAATTGCGTAATACCCTCTTTGTGCACTACTCTAAGGCATGTTACAAGGTGTTTAATTTACATGTTCCCTTAAGTGTATTTATCACAAGAAACATAATTCTACTGTTAATTTTAGCTTCACTTTGTAATTGAAGCATCATAAACAGAAACTCCAGCTTTGATTCTACCTACCTGGTAATTACAACTCTTCTTTCATTTAGCAGTTTATTTTAAAGTACGATTTATTCTTAAAAAGCAAAGGGATGTATCAGTGTACTCACCAAGGTGTACTGCTGCAGGATGCTTCCACTGGGACGAAGGCTCACATTAAGCAGAGGCCCTTAAATAGACCCCACACGGAATCCGGAGATCAGGGGTGGGGTYGATGCTCCAGACAAGTCCATATACGTGCTTCCAGTGTAAACCAACAGCATGCATAGWGTTTTTACATACTTGGATGGGTGTTCCTTCGCTACAATGAACTCACAGAAATGTTATGCACACAATTTGAAAATGTCACAGCTGATAGTTCTTTGAAAACAATCCTACAGCAAAGCAGCTTCATACTTTGCTTTCATTTGCTATGCTATATGTTTAGATTTGCTCTTAAATAATATAATATATCAATGTYAGTTGTGTTTTAAGTGTTATATTATACATAACTGATATGACTCAGGCAGGAAGACTTAGAGGTGTTATGTTACTCACAGAAGGCCCAAGTTGACACAGTAAATGCAGAGTCACTGGTGCCTTGCTAAGGGCATGAGAGCACTGTGTGTAAATCATCCTGCTGGTGTGTGTGCTGAACGTCTCCAATGTGTGTAACAGCTGATGGTGACACCATCTGGGCTCTGTGTCCTATCTTGCTGTCTGAGTGGTTTGCCTGTGTTGGTGCTTCATGCTGATTGGCTCCCTCATCTCCTTGTAGGGTTAATGGAAGCACCAGAGTCATATATGAGCAGACACTCGAGTTCCCGGTGCAAGTTTGAAAAGAGGGAGCTCCATATTTGTGTGAACCACGACTTGCAGCACATTTTTTCCTGTCGTGGACTGTGCCTTGTGTGGTCATGTTGATATTCCCGCAGGAATTCTGCACATATTTGAATTGTGTTTTAAACACATTTGTTCCTTACAAACCTACATTTTATTTACATGGATGAAAACTCTTGCAACTGGTGAGAAAGTGTAAGGTATATAAAATGTGAGCTTATAGAACTGAAAGGGCATGTAGGAGCACTATTCTGCACCTCAGTGCCAGAGTCATATCTTTCATTTGTAGCTGCATCTCTGCAGACAGAAACTGCATGGAGTATGTCATGGTTATTAGCAGAAGACTTATTAAACAGATTGTTTTGATCCTATAAACCCCCCCCCCCCCACCCACAGTTTAACTGAGACAGTTTAACTGTCTCAAACTTTAGGACTTTTAAATGGTACAGATTTAAACTGTTTATAATAAAACACATTCATTTGAGTTTATTGTTAGCAATGAGAAACTCAATTAACCTGTAATAAACCATGATATACACTTTATAAATGGAAAAGATGCTCTCTCAGGATCACTACTACTCATGCAGTGGACTTGCATTTTATTTAAGTGACAAATGGAAAGAAAACTCAGTTTGAATGTGTGTGGATGAAAATAAATATGTCAGTGCAGCAAGAAGCAAGACAAAGTCTCCATTGGTCCACTCAGTATGGACCAATGGAGACTTTGGTCCATACTGAGTGGACAGGTGGCTGGTGGCTTTGGATTAAAAAAATAAGAATGCGTGGCCATATGATAAATAATTTGTGGCCACAGGATAATTTTAGGCTGCTATGTTTATTTGTGAGAGTTACAGACATTGAGTCAGATTATCTATAAATCCTGTTTTTGTGTGTAACTGTTCAAATGTACACCACATTTATTTATATTAAAAATACTTTGGGCGTGTATTTAATTCAAATATACCTCAATGTTTCAGTCTAACAATTCATTTTTCATAGTACTAGTATTTACACAGGGCCTGCCTGTGGTAAAGGCAGTATAGGCAAGTGCTAGAGATGCCATCCATCTAGTGGGCAACACAAATAGAGGACAATTATTTTAAAACAACTTTTTATTAGAGTATTTATTCAAAATGTGGTTAATCGGGTTTTTGAGGGTAACTTGTTCTGCAGGTTTCTCAGCCTACTTGAGGTATTATGTGGTGCAGAGGATATTTTGTGATAAAAGTATCATATGATGCAGTGAAGACTAACTACTGATGCTCAGTGTGTAGAAAACAAAATATGATAATGGACACTTCAGTTATGATCTCAGATAAAATTCAGGTTAAAGTCTGGTTTTCAGTGTTTTACCTTCGTAAAATGTTGATTTTGTTGTTTTATTTATCGCAAGAATTTAGTGAAATGCTCTTCAAATGACTGGAAAATTCATAGTTTGAAGTAGATCTTTCATAAAAGTTTCTGTGGAAGTATACCCCTGGACCCCCCTAGAACTGCTTCACTCCACAGCTGCTCATTAACATAAACAGGTGTCCTTCACTGCTGTCAGCAGATGTTGGCAGGTATGAGGTAGACTTCTGGTATTCTGTTTCAAATGAATTATATTGTTAGCTACACTCACCGGCCACTTTATTAGGTACACCACGCCAGTAACGGGTTGGACCCCCTTTTGCCTTCAGAACTGCCT